GCTACACTGTGTTCAAGTTTCTGAGTAAACTTTGAAAAACTTAAGTTCTTAAAGTTTAGTAATAAAAAAAAAAAAAAAACACAAAAAAAACCCAACCCCACAAAATTGGAGGTGAAGGATTGAAAGAGTGCTTTTTAAAAAGCTAGCCTTCCAAATAACTGCCTCGAGAGAGCAAACATACCTGCTGTATGTGTATATGTAGCTTAGAACACTGCGTATTAGCCTGCAAATAATGCAATGATGCATCCTTTTAGGGATCCTAAGATAAAAGCACCAATGCAGAAATACAGAAAGCTCTGACCACCACGTATAGTAAAGTTGTCCTAAAGACAACACTGAAGGCCTCTGGACCATTGCTTACTTTTCTGTTCGGCAGGCTCCCTCCATCCCAATAGAACAATTATCCCATTTTAAGTACATCTTTATTTTTAGGGGATTATAAAGGCAGAAGCAAGATAAGAGGGAAATACAGGATTCTCTATTACCCCATATGCTGTTCTGTTAATGAGTATCTGGTATGTATAAATAGCATTGCCCTAGAAACAAAGACACACATTTCATATTCTTCACAACTTTTAGACTAAAATGCTGTAGTGTCATATATCAAAATTGGTTCATAAAGGGTCTGTGCAAAACTGGCTTCACATGTAGGTATTGTTGCAGGCAGGAAAAAAAAAGCCTAGATCTCACTGTTCTGCAAGTTAGGAAAAAAAATGTCCAAGGAATAGAAATACTTCTAGCGCACTGCAGTGATTTCTTTTTAGGTCATAGGGCATTGTATTTCATTTCAGTATCATCACTGAAATGCTAAAACCTAACTTCTGAGAGAATATAGTTGAGAAGATAAGATTGTATCTAGGCAGGAGCATTTCACATAAGTCTTACCAGTATTGTCTCGCTTTTATAAACATGTTTCTTACATATTGTTGGAAGAAACACTACTCTTCATATTTGGCTCACCATTCACACAACTTAATCCTTAACAAAGGCACACAAATGTGCTATGCAACAGAACAGCTACATTTAAAAAAGTTACCTTCAGTCCCTTTTAAAATATTCTTAGGCCAGCTTTTTGGGTTTTTGGTTTTTTTTTTTTTTTTTTGATTCCCAGGTGACTCCTTCAGGAGCATCAGTCTGATAGAATTGTATGTAATAAACAGAGATTAAAATAGGACAGGAATCCCATGAATAAGTAGATGCTAGATCCAAAACAAAGTAATTTTTTTCCTATTGATTTCATTGCTGTATTTAACAAACTCATAGCTCAGCATGTTAAATGGTTTGTCTTTTATGCTTATTTGTCTTCATGTTTCTGGAAGAACAAAGACATCCTGTGATTCAAATTCTGCTTGGTCAAGTATGCAGCATAATAATGTGCTCTCTTCTCTGCTATTACATTCTGATGTTTCCCAATGGAGTGTTGTTCCGATGCAGGCTTAAGCTGATGTGGGCCTGCAAAATACCAGTCAGAACATACTTCAAAAATTCTTTTTCTGACAGTAACATAACTAACGGCTTATACTAACAAAAAAACCCCTCTTAATTTGAAACCAGTATTGTTCTTTCCATCTCAGTTTTAGCATTCTTAGAACACTTCATTTTACATTTAACCAAGTTATGTTAAGTAGTATGAACAATTTAGCCTGTTTGAATAAACAGGAACTTTCTCAGCTAGTGCAGGTGAGGAGTCAAATAGGTTAAAAACTACTACTCATACTGAGGAGAATAATGACTGCCATTACAAATACAATAAAAACAATTCAAAGAGCTGGCTTATGTTTAAACTACAAATAAGGGACCAGTTTCAGATGCCCTCAGGTGAAGATGACTATATGAACTTTTCCTTTATTTTTCAAGGCTGACCATGATCCTAGTAGAAATGTAGCCATTATGGTCTATCTTCACTTGATACAACTTATTTTGCTTGTAGCTATTTAACCCCCCCCAACCCACAGATCTTTTGATTTTAGCTGTTATGAATTGGAGTTCGTTGAGAAAGTGTAATGGTTAACCTTTTATGATGTAGATGATAGTTAAAGTGTACAAAAAATCACTTCTACATAAGTGTGTCATCCCAATGCAAACAAAGCCTCAAGGGACCCTACCTAAAAGCATCCTTGTGTTAGTGGTGACCAATATATTCAACCTCTTCCAGTGAGGTATGTTCCATGATGAAGGACCTGCTATTTAGGTTAGAAGTGTCTAGGTTCAGCAAATTCATAAAAGTTGCTTCAATATGTGTCCTGAAATAACAATTATCAGCTTAACTTTCTTTCCTGTTTCCCCTTTTTATTTCGGTCCTTACCCCAGTTTTCTCTACTTTCTCATTCTCTGATCTGTTTGAGCAATTCCCCTAGCATTTAAAAACTTAAGTGTGGTGCTTTCTCCATTAAATTGTGCTCCAAATCCTTAACCATTTTGTGCTGTCAGGAAAATGTACACCTAGCTTGGGAATTCATGCTAGCAAGGCATGTTGGCCAACCAACAGATAGATTGGGTCCTAAGACCTTCAGACCTCTGACAGAAAAGCAAACAACACACTTCACAGCTGGGTAAGCAGGGAATTTGGCTTGGTTTGGATTAGCTGCATGTCCTGACCTTTCATTGAGGGCTTCAGGATTTGACAGTCATTGCTGTAGTGTGCTGATGAAATCAGCTGATATTGGCTCTTCGTCACGAGCAGATCTGCTGTACTTTGCCCAGGAATAGTAACAAATTCCTGTTAATGTGATAGGAATAAAAGATATCACACCTTAATATCAGAAGAGGAATTACCAATGTGAAATGTGTTATGAAGCACAGATCGCCTCTGTGGAGGCATTCATTCCTCAGTACTGTCTCGAATGTAGTGAGAAACATGTTATTTAATAAGCCTGCAGTTTTAGTCATGTTGAATACAAGTGACAATTAAGGCTCATTTAAGGTGTCTTAATGACTTCCTTAAAAATTGATCTGTACTGAAATTCTTAAGTGTAATACTGAGGATTTCTCTTCAGCCACGCTGAGCTTAGCGAGCAGCTGGGTGAGAGATAAGCACTTGCCACTTGCCCTCAATAAACACAGCCAAGCACCCAGTTAGAGCAGCCACACGGTTGCATTATTTTAGCTGAGCTTCTCTGCAGCTGACCACAGGATTCACAAGTTATGGATAGAATTCAAGTGGATTTTATGTCGGGGTGAGGGACCCTTATTGCAGTGTCTGTGTTAGGCAAACTGAACTGTCACTCTTCTGTGGCTTGTGTTCTGTTGTACTCTCTCCTGAAGCCAAGGAACCGTATCAATGGTTTTTATTTAAATTGCTATGTGATGTTCTTAATTGGTGCCATGCTGTTTTGGAAGTCATTTACAACAGGACACTGATGAGGATATGAGTGTTCTGAAATGGTTTCTTTTGATTTCATGATGAAGTTAGTCACTTGGGTCAGGTTTGAATCTCCTGTTGCTTCAGGAGAAGGGAATCTTGTAACTATCTGAACAGCAATGTATTGCTAAAGCCTGAAAAAGGATGTGATAACTTACAGTTGTTAACATGACTGATTTCACTATTCTGATAATAATCTGTAGAGTGTCTTGCATCCAGGTGGTATCCTATAGAGGCAGGAGTTGTAGCACTAATAACAAACGGTAGGGGTTGTTAATCACATTTTTAAGCCTTCTATCTGTGAGTTTAGGAATAATGAGATAAGGATCTTTATCATGGACCTGTTTGGTAGTTTGCAGCTTACTCCAAATCTCAGTATTACAGTTTTTATACACTACAGATAGCTTATGAGATAAAGGAGACACGATCACAAGAAGTAGGAATTGCAGTGATCTGTTGCAAAGATAGTTGCAATAAACTGCTGAAGCGCAGTTTAAAAAAACTGCTTCTGAAAAAGTTGGGCCCTTAGGAAGGCAAAAGTGAGATTCAGAAGTGGAAACTTAAAGATGAAAGATGTACACTGCTGTGATACTAACGATCAAGAAGTCAAGAAAAGTTTTGGAGAAAAAGTCACCTGCGTATTTGGTATAGATAGCAGTTCTACAGTTCTATCAAATCACCAACCTTTTAAAGATAAATCTAGTGAGGTACTAAAGTTCTTATAGACAACAATACTGGTCCAAAATTGCTTTCTTCAAGTATTTTGATGTAGCTGGTATTTAGCCTTGAATATAAAGCCAGTAACCTCTCTCAGCTAATAAGTTTCTTAGATGATTCCTTTTTACTCGTGTGACCAGAACTGCTTAGCCTTAAATAATTCAGTACTTTTGTGCAAGACTGTTCAGTAGGAAGGCACTAGTTACTGAACGTATCAGAGAATCCAGTTTTGCTGTCTTTGAAAACATAACCAAGAAGGTCACAAAGGGATTCTAGTACTCATTCCAGCACTAGATAAGTGGGAAGCTGGACCAGTGTCTTCAGGATGGAGCCCTGATGACCACTCCATACGCTATTCTGGGATGTTGAGAAATCTGGTCTTTCTGTTGAAAATGCCTGTTGTGGCAGAGAATTTACATATGGAAAAAAACATGTCTGGTTTATGGCAGGCACAAGAAAAAAAAAGAGTGCCACTCTGTTTCCAGCTCCAAATATTGTTCAGGCAGTTCTCAAACCATACATCCAAATTATTTAAGGCTCAGTTACTTACGGCTACTGCTTGTAGCATTCAGAAATCAGAGTTTCCTCTCTCTGACCCAAGCAGGACAGAGCCCTAGGTAGTCTGACTGTGCAAAGAACAAGCAGCCATTTGGACCAAGTAGCAGCACAGAAAACCTTATGATAGCTATAAATTTATGTTGTGAAGAAATCAGAGAGTTCTTGCTAAGCCCTGACCCAAAGTTGTACCTGAGAAATGAGTGGGCCAGCAATGTGTCTTTAGCTCATTGTCACAGGTCTTGGTAGCAGATAAACAATCTTTGTGATGTATCCTTGTAATGACTGGCATTGTGCCTGCCTAATGTGACAATTGGTACATTTGCAAGTGTTATATACCTTCATATTTTAATCTTTATTTGTGCAGGGACTCAAACCAATAGTTTCCACTGAATCCCCAGCTCTGGTTTTTGGGACAACAACTAAAGTTGCTTCAGATTTACCAGCCACTGATTCTTTCTTGGGTAAAAACAAGGTGCCAGACCTACAGAAACTTTTTCAGGTAATGACAAATTTGAGAGTAACTTAAAACTGAAGAGTGGGACATATCTTTCCATATTTGAATGTAGCTAACTACTTTTCTCATTCTACAATACCAAAATTTGGTAAAGTCTAGTTAAGGAAGTGTTAAGTACAGTGTAACCTGTATACTTGTACTATACTACCAGGTATGTGTGCCTTGTATAGGAGATAAATGCAGAAAGTGAAGATTCTAGTAACACTGCCTGTCTTTTCACTGGCTTCACAAGATGCTTAGTGTATTATTTACTATTGGAAGCACTTTCTGGGAATCCAAGCATATGCCTTAAAGCAAATAATTACTGTTTTGCGTACAATAACTTGAATATTACTGAGGTTGTTTATAGTTCAGTATAAGAGCAGCACAGTAAAGTTTTTAAAGCCAGTTTGGTAGCTATGCAATTTCTAAGTGTACTAGGACTTTTCATAAAACAAATTGGTTAAACATTTTTTTTTAAACATCAAGAATGTGCCTTAGATAATCTACCCTTTTCTCTCTTACATGCCACTTGCATTTGGAATGTGGCAGCCTGACTTGGTGAATAACCTTTTATACATATCTTTTCACGTTCTTTTGTTAGTGACACCTTCCCATCCAAGTCCTCTTTTGAAATATTTCAAGATACGTTCTTTCTGCCTGCACTTAACAGCTTTGACTAATAAAATTAACTTGTCTTTGCATTTATCTTGCTGAATGAAAGCATATAATACACTTGATTGTAGATAGCCCATAATATGTCAGGAGGTTTCCCTCATGGAAGTTTCTTAATTTACCTGAGACAGCTTGTTCTTTGTGGCCTTGGTATGGGTGTTCATTTCCTTTTTTTTGTTTTCTTTTTAAACTCTTCCCACAGAAAGCAGATGGGCTGCCAGTACACCTGAAACGAGGAGTTCCAGATAAGCTGCTTTATCGGACCACTATGGCTCTAACAATAGGCGGGACTATCTACTGTCTAGTTGCGCTGTACATGGCCTCACAACCAAGAAACCAAAAGTAAATGAACCACAACTCATGGGACTCATGACACTTCTCTGAAGGACCTCCTGCATGTGTCTCTGCACTTGCTTTAATTCTGTCATCATACAGGGTTCATTACTTGGATCACATTTCTTGGAGAAAGTGTTTTTAAATTGGTTGCCTTATGTGTTCTAGAAATCAACATAAACAGACTTAAAGACATCATCTTAACATATGGTTGTAGCTTTGCATTTGTTGCCTTGCAGGAGTGTAATAACAGTTGGAGAAAGTTAAGCTTTTCCTCTTTCC